TGGTTTTCGGTTTGGTTCAGTATATGTTGATTGTTACCCCGAAATCCCATAAAAATTTATGAAATTAATGAAAAAAATCCCCAAAAGTTAATGAATTGCAATTATTTTTAATGATCCGTGGAAACCCTGGTTCATTATATATAAATATATAATGAACCAGGGTTTCCACGGATCATATTCTTATTTTTTTTTTTTTTTGTGGAAAGAAAAAAAAAAGTTATACAGAAATTACATTTGAAATCCTTAATCGACAAAGGTGTGATTAAGGTTTTTAAGGTTTGAAAAAGGAGTACAGCAAACTTAAAAAACTTCAAATTTTTTCCAATTTTATGTTTTCAAATTTCACCATTAGAATTTTTCCTTGTTTTATTTCTACAGGTTTTCTTGTTTCAGAATGATGTCTGGGGGCCGAGGGGACCAACGGTATCTCAGGGAGTCTAACTATTTTTTAATTATGCACAAAGGAGAAGAGATATGTGTGAATTCTTTGTAAATAATAAAAAAGTAACAAAAATAAAATGCTTTATCTAACATGTACCATTGTTTTCCTTTTCAAAATAGGGCTCTTAATTCTCTGTATTATTTTATTGTATTTCAAAAGCTTTCTGCTTTCGAAAGCAGAATAAAGTCCTCTTTGTCTTAATATTTATCTTTCCTCCCTTCCACTCCTTCATACGGCTATCAGTTTTCCTGCCGCCTTTTTGATCCTATAAAACCATCTTCCTTTTTTCTCTTTATCGTACTTTTTTTTGTAACTCTAATTTTAGATTGATGATTCTCCTTCACCCTGATTGTGTTATATATCTTCCCCAAGTTCTCTCCCTAGATGGGTGGGTTGGGTTGTAACCCTTTTTGTCTCATAGGGTTGCAATCATTACACGCACTTCATGCATTATTTAGACTCCATATATTAAAGACATAAAAACCTGGAATTACTAAACATTCTGCTTTTAAATATAGATAATACAGAAGCTATTGTCTTTGGATTTGAATCTTAAAAAAAAAAAAACAGAAGCTGATAGTTTGTTCACTTCCTCTTGAAGGATTAAAATGGTCTCAGAAAATAATGTAAAATTTAAAGTTTGTGTTATTTTAATTAGGACTTGTCATTTAAGTCCCATATCAGGTTTCCAGCATTCCCTTCTTTGATCTCTGTAATAATTCAAAAATTAAAAATACCTGATCCAGGGATGATACTGAGAAACTAGTCAATGTTTTTGTTAATGTAGGGCTGGACTAAAGCCTCCAGCTAATCCAAAAATGCTGCAGCCAGAGATCTAACAAAAATTATGAATAACGGAGCCTGTCTTATATCAGAGATCTGATTGTTCTTTATGTTCCTAACAGAGCACTTCGCTCTCAATCTGCAGGTTTACTAGTGGTTCCTAGAATCTCTGAAAGTAGAATGGGAGGCAGATCTTTTAGTTATCAGGTTGCTCTCCAGCAGAATCAGCTACTAGATGTATTCTATGAGGCAGACACACCGCCTCATTTTAATACTACGTTAACAACATCACTGTTTGATAAATACTTCAGAAAAAGATCTAGAGCTGTGAAATGTCAGTCATAAAAAAAAAAGATACTACACAATAATTAAAATGAGACAAAATATATTGTTGACAGTATTTTGTTTCACTCTGGTTATTCCACCTTATCAAGAGTTTTTTTTTTTCATTTATAAAAAGGAAAAGTATGTTAAAATAACCTTTTAAACTGTATTATTTTTACAGAAATAAATGTCACAATAGTAATTAAATTAATTGTAGAGTTTGGCATAGTTTTAGATTGTCTCCTTAACTGATACCTCTACACACACACCTCACCCCCACCGGATGGAAAAACCTTTGCCTTCAAGTGTAAAGTCTGACAATGAATGTCTAATGCTGGATTTAAAGCGATGCTACTGGGAAATCTAAAGGTAAATGCTTGTGTCAGATTAAGCTGTAATAGTTTTTTTTGTTTTTCGTTATTTTCTTACTTTAAGCATGTGGGTTTGGATGAAACACTGGCTCAGTTTGAAGTAGATCTCAAAATGCATACATGATAAACTTCAAAAGTGGAATGTTTATGGAAATGTTAAGGACACAAAAAACGAGGCCTGCAAAATAAAAAGAGGATTATTTTATAAAATAACTGCTCAAAATATCGAATGCCTCTATGTGCTGAGACTTACTGTACAAAGAAAAATAACAAAATAACAAAAACAAAATTATTCCATATGAATTAAAACACTAACTACTTTGAAATTTCAATAAGAGATTTAAGTAACCTGATCTTAAAATGAATCAAATTGCCTATACTGTATATCTAACAAAGAAACAATATTTAAATGCCAATTTAAGAAAGACAGTCTAAGATTGCTGATGAAGGTTCTCAGTCATCCAGGTCATAGTCATTCCGTAAAAATTCAAAAAATATCCATCTTGGAAACCAAGTCCAGTGGATATTTTTTGAATTTTTACAGAACACTCTAAGATTGTATGGCCACCTATGTTAATGACCGTAAAAGACTATTGGGCGTTGCAATACAGTCATGTTTCAAATGAACTGATCTCAATTAGTATTGCCAGCAGGTAAAATTTTTTTACCAAAAATTTTATTTATTTAAATTTATAAAAAATGTATTTAAAAAGAAAATAAGAGAGCTGCCTCAGAAGCTTAACCCTGTAATGCCAAATGTATCATATTTGATACATACGGTTTCTGAAATGTTTTGCGTCTG